GTCCTCTACGCCAGCGACATCCTCATCCTCGATTCCAAAGCCGGCGTCGAAGAAAAGCGACCTCCTGCCAGAGCCTAACGCATCGTCCTCCCGGCACTACGTTCTCCGTTCTGCACCGGGGCGGGCGTCCTGGAGCCGCTCAGCGCTGTCCCGTTGCACCATGACGCCGAGGCGGGATTGTTGAAGGAGGCGAGCGCCGGTTCCCCCGGGAGAGGATGCAGCCTGATGTGACACAGCATCAGCGCCTCATTTAATGACCATCTCCACTCCAACACGGCGTACAGCGGGCTCCCTGCTCCACATCGGCAGCCAGACACAACCCACCGTGATGTCATTCGCCAGTCACAGAGCCCGCTGCAAAATCCGACATGGAGCTCCGGAGGAGGAGGAAGGTCCCCACGGCTCTGCCTGCTGCGCCAGAGGCATCACGTGGGCCATGCTCCCCGCAGGCGCGCATCGCGGACAAGGCAAACGCTCCGACGCTGCCCCGACGCTATCTGTAGCCCCCGGTGTTCACACCTCGCCGTAGTTTGAGCAGTTTGAAAAGCGATTTTAAACTGGCCAGCACGATTTTCAATGGACGCGGTTCACACCTGCGCAGGAAAACGCCTGAAAAGATACCGGAGCTTCTTTGGGCAGTTAAAAGCGTTTTTCCTCCCCGTAGACTTCATTGGAAAAACGCGCAAACAGAAGCGTGCGGCACATTTCCGCGAGCGGTTAGCCGCGTTTATACGCGCGTTCTTCCATCACCCACCATGGTTTATTAGCCGCCAAATCAAAACGCGCATCTTCGTGTACGTGCGTTAAAACGCGCATGCAAAATGTGCGCAAATAACCGCATGCTGCGTACAAATGCGCACAAACGGCGCCGCCGCCTAGGTGTGGACCCGGGCTAAAGCCGTACCGTTCGATTTATTACAGGCATTTATATAGCGCCGTACACGCTCTACGTTGCACATCGGCCCCTGCTCCCCCCCCAAGGAGCTTACAATCTAAGATCCCTATCACACATACACGGGGCAGTGATCCGAGGAGGCTGGAGACCATGTGATCCGAGGAGGCTGGAGACCATGTGATCCGAGGAGGCTGGAGACCATGTGATCCGAGGAGGCTGGAGACCATGTGATCCGAGGAGGCTGGAGACCATGTGATCCGAGGAGGCTGGAGACAACGTGATCCGAGGAGGCTGGAGACAACGTGATCCGAGGAGGCTGGAGACAATGTTATCTGAGGAGGCTGGAGACAATGTTATCTGAGGAGGCTGGAGACAATGTTATCTGAGGAGGCTGGAGACAATGTGATCCGAGGAGGCCGGAGACTTTACTGAGCAATGAGAAGAAGATACTGAGGGTAAAGGAACACTGCCATGAGGAAAGGGAATGGCCACAATGAGGCTGTAGGTTCCCTTCCTGGTATGAACTGTTGAGGACACGCTGAGGTTGGAGGCTCTGTTACTCTCACACATGCTGCATTCTTGAGATACAGACTCTGAATAAAACGCGTTGGTCCAGCTTCACATCACCATGGAAACGGGTTAGTAAGCCACCCGACCCGGCAGATGTCAGTTCTGTGGCATCTTATTAAATGCTTCATATGAAAAAGGAGCTTACACTCTAATGCCCCCTCCCCCCCACAGTCACATCAGTCTCTGTACAGAGGAGCTTACACTCTAATGTCCCCTCCCCCCACAGTCACATCAGTCTCTGTACAGAGGAGCTTACACTCTAAT